TTAGGCTATTATAAAATGTTTATATACATCATATATAATATATATCACATATATTTCATTTCTTTCGTTTTTAATATTATTTTTTGGTAATTATTTTTTATTTTTTTAAAGGATAAAAAATGTAAAAACAATGGTAAAGTAAGAAGCTATTAAATCATTGAATGTTACGCCTATATGCGTTGTTAATACGCTTATAAGATTTTTTTATTCAAAATATCATATTATTCATTATGTACTTATAAAATAATAATTTTTATAATTAAATCTGTAATCAGTAATTACCCTGAATATGGAGAAAACATATTATGGATATTGTTTGGCGAGGGATATTGCCATGCCATATTCGCCATTGAGCCTACTCCAAGTTGTGGCTGTTGTTGAAATGGCTGCTGTTTCTTCTGCGACGCTGTAGCCTCGCCTTCTGACATACCGAAGAACAAAATCAGAATTGCTTAAACAATTGTACACTTTACGTTCCGTTGCCGTAACTTTTGTATTACCACGGATTTTTTAGACCAGGAAATAAAATTCTTAAAATATTCTCGAATACATTTTATCGAATTGCAACGCTTTCGAAATGACTAACCGTTTCAATGAACTAAAATGGTGCTGAGGAATATATTATTCTCTGTCAGACGGCAGCACTGTCATCTTTCACGCGCCAATTTTGTGAAATATGTATATATTTAATATTTGATAAATAAATTTAAAAACTTATTAATAAATATATATATATATTTATTAATAATTATTATATTGGTTTATAATGCAATACATTTGTAAAAAATATATCAAAAATTTTTAAAGTAACATTATAAGTAATAATTCAATATAGTAATAATTCAATAGTAATAATTCAATTTTAATATTTTTAAAAATAAATAATTCTCAAACATAGTATTTAAACTATGTAATTTTTTTCATTATAAATTTAATTTTTTTCTATTGTTAAAGTAGCATCTAGATATGTACGATCGAGTGCAAAATTGCATTGTACTTATGATAATTTACTTCAATTTCCCTTTCATTCATATAGAAAATAATTGTCGATAGTTGTTATTTAATGCGATAGTATAACGTAATCAAATATCTAGTTTTGCAACAAAATGATAGAAATGGAATATGGCCTAGCACGAATTGTAACATTATATTCGAAGGATATCGAATGAAGTTGTACGTACGTAGTTATGTTGTTTTTTTCTTGCTGAAATGACTAAAGATAGATTCAAATATATACATAGAATTGTAAATTGTAATCTGTTAATCTTTTAATTCACAATTAATAAATCTTGTGATTAAATTTTGTTATATTATTTTGTATATTATTTTTTTCCTCTTTTTATGGAAATAAAAACAATATTTTGATTTTTAATCATATTTTAATTTATCTAAATAATCTAATTTCTATAAATATAAAAATTTTTTTCATTCAAAATTTAAATTGATTACACATATTATTAGAATCAGTCTTTTATAATATAATAATTTTATATAATAATTATTATATAATTATTATATAATTTTATATAATAATTTTAATTTTAAAAAATATAGATAAATTTATTTAAAATTTATCTATATTTTTATTAAAAATATAAAAATATATAAAAAATAAATTTAGCACTTTTTAAATATATCATTTTTTGCAAATTACGTTATATATTGCTATTAATATATTTGTTTAATATATACATATGTTATATATATACACATATTTGACGATATTTTTTTGATATTTCAGAAGAATATTATCATAAAGCATATTTTTGCTATCATACTATTATTTAAAATAAAGAATATATTATTTTATAAATAAATTCATTATGATGCAATAATGTTGATTATTTCATCTTATTTTATAGATGAAATATCAGGTAGTTAATTGATAGATAGAGGTATGTTGTTTACCTTGAATAAGTTGTGGACCTTTCTTTCAAAAATATTGTTCAAGATTAAAAAAAAAAATAAAAAATGAACACACATAAAATATTTAAACAAGAAAGTAATATTTAAAGTAATACAATAAACAATGGAAGATAAGTACTATAAGACAAGTACTTTTCTCTTATATATACTTAACATATTTTAAAATATATTTTTTTTAAATATTAAGAGAAATAAAAGTGTTATTTGTTCAGTATTTATAAAATAAGGTAAATCTTATATAATTGCGAAAAACTTAAAACCTGAAAAACTGAAATCTGAATACGACATTCTTTTTCCCCATAAAAATTAATTCTATTCATGCTGAAAATCAAACTCAACTATAGTTGCTAATTGCATCAGCATTTTCCACTTTCGTTTTTCAACAAAGTGCAATCATGTAATAATGCGATTTTATATAATTTTATCATATCAGAACAGATTGGTAAGTAATAATTAAAAAATCTTTGTAAAAATAAAAAAATATCATTAAAATTATATAACCAAGTGGTCATTAATATACGATTGTTATTATATTCTGAATTTAAATATTATTTTTTTATATCTATTTTTGCTAGGATTATAATTCAGTTTCCTTGTAGAAAAGTCAAAAAATAGCAAGATTAATTAATTGACGAATAACATTGTTTTTCATGGTTTAGTTAAAAATAATTAAAATTTTTTATTTTTTTTCTAAATACAAAAAATATTTCGTGAATAGAAGTAAAATAAGTATAATTTAATATTAATGAACATTGCATCAGAGTTATTGCGATTTTTCAAATTTGAATAATAATAACAATGAGCATTGAACTTGAATTATGAGCCACAGTATTTTAATATATTCTATATATTATTATAGAATTAAAAATTGAATTTAAATTTGAATATAGATAGTAGTAATTTTTTATAAAATTTATATTGATTCTTCATTTTTATTTTCATTGATTTCATCTGCTGTTTTTTCTTTTTTCGGAGAAACTTTTTCTTTCTCTTCCGTAATATCTCTTGGTTCTTTTGTTTGGACTATTTTTGTTACTGTTGTTCCTTTCTTCCTTTTTGGTTTTATATTTTTTGTTAATATATCGATAACAGGTTTTACTTTTTTTTTGATTATCTTTAATAAAAGTTATATAAAATTATTTTTTATAAACTTAATCAATATTTTATATAAATATTTCTTATCAAAAAAGATTTTTTATTATTATTTTACCATACGTTGCAATAATTGTTTAGTAGTTTTCTTTGTTCCATATCTTTTGTCCCATAATTCCTTTTCTTGCCACCATATGCGTTGATATTCATTCGTTAATAATTGTTCTATACAAGGACGTTTTTCTCTAATATATTAATAAAAAAAATATAAATATTGAATCTAATTATAATTTAATTAATTTACGTACTTTTCATAAGATGGAATAAACACTTTTTGGGATGCGAATTGTGAAGATATAATATTGTCTGGAATTTTACAAGGAACCGCGGGTGACCATGTTTTTACCTTTGTATCTGTGCTCATTATTTTAAGATCGTTTGCAAATTATTAAAATCAAACGCAATAAAAACGATGAACTATTTAAAAAGAATCAAATTAAACAAGTGACGATAAATATCGATATCAAACTCGAAATTAAAATTTTATCGATATAATTATAAAATAAAATGTCATTATAATAATCGATAAATTTTATCGATATTACATATTATATTATAATTAAAGTGACTTCTTAAAAACTAATCTATCATTAATATGAGTTTTATTAAGTAACTTTATCAAGATATTATTAAAATAAATTAACATTTTTTTACGAAAGAAATGAAATTAGTAAATATATATGTTATACGTGCCTCCTTTATTTCAACAATAATAATAGTACAAATAAAAATTTGAGAAATTAGAATTTCAATAATTCATAATATAAATGTATGAATATCAACGAGATTAATATATGAGTAAAACGGGAACTGACACAACTTGTATTTATCCGATAATCAATTTGGAAAACATTCTCACCTTGTGTTAACAAATTTAATGTTACATGCGAATACCACGTGTTTGAGACGAAATTAGCAATGTCCTACAAATCTTTTGCAGAATTTGTATCGAAATTATAGATTTCACAATTTATTGGATACAGAATATTTTGCTAATTAAATATTAATCAATATGATTATTTTTTATAGATGAATTAATATAATTCTTAATAATTGAATTAAATTCTTGAAATTCTATAAAATGGATAATAAGATAGGTTAGGGATTTGTCTTTTGAACGATATAAATGAAAATGAATATTCGTATTCGCTTAATTACCATGACCCTGATAAAATATTCCTTAAAATATACGTAAATTGCAATATGATGTTATCGCTTTCACTCTAAATCTTTTTTTTTACATATTTTCTATTTAAGAATTATACATCTTGATCCATTAACTTTATTGTAGATGATTAACTTAATCGTAAATGATTTTTTAAAAAATTTAAAGAGTTCATCAATATTTCTTGATGCAAAATAGCAATTGAATCCTATCTAAAATCGAATCGCTCTCAATGGAATGTTGATACATATACATATATATAGATTTCTACTTTCTTCTTCCTGCAAAATATCAAATAATAAATTATGACGATATATATTAATAAAATTATATATTATAATAAAAATTAAAATTTTTTTTTTAAAAGATGTAATTTACTCGATTTTAATATTTTTTATTGTATTGCAATATATTTTTTTATTCACATGTTAATCAAATAATCAACGAATTTTTTGTAAAAAAAAATAATACAACGAAATTAGGAAACTTCAATTTATAAATAATAATAGTATCGAAAAAATTACAATAATTATATTTTACTTAATCAATTTGAATTGATGTCATAATTGGTGACTTGTGGTAGCAAAATGAGAAACGTAACTTTTTAAGGAGGGAGTAAAACATTGATATGGGAGGAGTTCTTTCGAGTTCTCTCTCCGTTGAGAAACTGCAAGGAGCAGAGGTGGTTTCTACTCACCTGAAGATTTCATATGGCAGTCGCCGTGCTGAGTTGTTCAGCGACGGGTATCTCGTAATCATTTTGTGATTCACAGAATTACCGCGAGTTCTCAGTGAACTCTTATTCTATTCTGCATATTGTTTTATCATGTTGGATTTTTATACTTGTTTTAACACGTACAATATTGAATCATCTGAGAAAAACGCGTTCTCTACGGTTAGTTATTTTATCTGTCATCCCTTTTGAAAACTCTTTCTTCTCACGGAAATATTTTCTTTCGAAACAGATTATTATCTAACAACAAAATCTTTGATTGATATTTTAATTTTAATTGTTTTATTATAATGATTTTTGCCGAAAACATAAAAAAATAATGAAAATAAATGATTAAACAATTTCTTAAAGAACTAATCAATTACATAAAGAGGTTAGATGCAATGCGAAATGTTTGCATTGGAATCAACGAAAGTGAACATTTCTTAGAGAGTGTTTTTTTTATATGATAAAAATTAAACATTCATTTAAATAATTTTACTTATATAATATTAATAAATCTATGTTTTTTGATAAATTTGTTAAATTTTTATTAAATTTAAAATTTTTACCTTAAATTCTTTCGATTATAGATTTCGATTATCGAAATATCAAATCAATGAAGATGTTTACAAACTTTGAATTTAAATAATTGAATATCGATTGATTTCTGTTATTGTAGTGTAAAGTATAGTACAATTTAACAAAGTGATTGATATAAATAAATGAATTCTAAAATTATATGGAGTGTATAAAGATAGCGAAGTGTGTGAAACAATAAATTAATAAATTGATAAATATGTTTCAATATACAATAAAATTATATAATTCTAAGATAAATGTAAAAATTTTCAAATTTTGATAAATTTCTATATTGATAATAAGTTGGAAAAAATAGTGTAGTGGAAAATCAAAGATAAAAGTCATTATATGTACAAAAACTTGTACAAAATTTACGAGTTAACGAATTATTTTATAATATTATAGCATAAATTGATTTGCAATAACGTAGCAATTATATTAGAAATATGAAGAAAATATCGAGATTATACCGAAATTTGTACAATCACGATTAATCAATCGTGATCAATTAATTAATTATGAGAATAAGTATTTGGTGTGGAAATTTAATTAATATTATTGTGATAATATTCTATATATATATAGATTATACAAATCTAATTTAAAATATAACTCAAATTAAAAAACAAATAATGGATATAATATTAAATATTGTATATTAAATATATGTATTATAGAAACATTTTGCTGTACTTAATGGAACACATTTCGTTTTTATTCTATCAAAAATATTGCAAATTATTTTTTAAGTTGTTAAACAATATTGAAATCTTTTAACATAATTATTCATTAATTATTGATTCTTTTGAATAAATTATGATAATTGGTAAATAATTTTAAAACATTTAACATTTATATATATATATATATATATTTCTACAACAATTAATATAAAATATTAACTTTGCAATAAGATTGATCTTCCAATTTATGTTCTATATATTCTATATTTTAATTGTTTTAATTCTGTAAATTTAAATAAATTTGAAAGTAATAATTCCGTATCGATACAAATTGAAAGCTTAGTGTTTTTATTGTAATAACAACTAAACGTATCAAAGCTACCAAATCGTTCTAAATCATTTTGGCAATTATTTGACAAGGGAACAAGTATACGTTCGATTATAAATTTAGCAGTTAATTTCTTTAATAAGAGATTAATAAGTTTACTTTACAATAAGTATGTATATATTTTGTTTATTTCTATGCAACTTTTCGAATGTGAAAATTTATGAATTTCAAAGATTTCAAAATCTAGATACTAAATAATTAAAAAATTTGGAAATTGAAAAACATAATAATTCATGACTTTCTGAAAATTCAATATCGAGAAAGAATTTAAAATTCCAAAAACTTTAAGAATTTAAGAGTATAACAATCTTAAAAGTAAATTATATTAATTATAAAAATTTTAAGAATATAATATTTTTTATTTCTAATTGATAAGCATATGCAAAGTGATATTAAAATTAGTATATATTAAAATCGCAAACACGTGAGAAATTTTTCAACCACGCATATGACAGGGTCTAATCTACTTACGTGTTTTATGTTTTGCTTGCTAGGGTATCTTATAGAATATCAATTTCTTGGCCACAAACTAATTTCACAGTACAATGATATTAGTCGTGGTCTGCATACCGCTAGATCAAGTAATAAACTAATATAATAATAATATAAGCCTTCATCAATTTCTGCTATTATAATATAAAGTGATGATATCTCACTCTAGAAATTATTAGGCAATTTATTTCTCTACACGTGGATATTTATAGCTTATAAATAAATGATATATATATATATACTTTGTCATTTGTGATACACAGAATATTGCAAATCATGTTTATATTTAATAAAATATTATTGTTTATTTTTGAGCTATAAATGGAGAAGATTTTTATATATATTTTAATTATTTATTTTTAATAAAATTTAAATTTATTAAATGAAGTTTTCTAAAATTAATAGTCATAATATATTTTATAAAATGTTTTAAATATATCAAACCATCAAGAAAAGTTATCAATTACATGTCAGCTGCATTTTATAAGAAAAATATATATGAATAAAAAGTTATAAGAAAAATTATTTGAACAAATTAAATTTTGAATATCGAATCATTTTTAAAAGTTTTTTTAAAAGTTTTTTTAAAAGTTTTTAAAAGTTTTACAAACTTTTTATTAGAATTCATATCTGATCAGAATTTGTTTCTTTCTATTGTAGCACTGGTTATATTGGACATCGAAATTATTCTACAGATAATTGATTTTCGTTTATAACGTCAAGAAACTTCAATAACAATTCTTGATCATTTCATCATATGGATACGTTTAATAAGGAAATCAGTGTTTTAAAGTGAAACGTGAATCAACAAAATGGAATCATATCTTAATTGACGTCATTTAACAAACATATTCTGCTAATGAAACATATTATGGAAAGAAACTGGAACACATGGTGATTTTTCAAATTGTTTTAAACCGACTGAAAAATATAAAAATTAGTGTGTTATCGTAATCAAATTGGAGCATGATGGGAGAAGTGATCCGAGTTTCTGGACGGGCGCCGGATGTTGGAGAATTTCTAAAGGAAGCGATGCTGTCCCAAAGATTTGCCGATGTGACTCTCTGTTGTCCTGGTGGACAAAAATTCTTGGCACATCGTTTGGTTCTTTCAGCTGCCAGTCCTTATTTACAGGTCAGTGTTATATTTCACTTTTGAGAATTTAATAGAAAGAAAAAACTTTGTAATTTACAAAATAATTTTATAATGAAATTTACAAGATACAATAAGAAATTTATCAAAATTTATCCAAATATAAGTGTGTTATGCAAATGTTTTGTTTTAAAATGATTTAGTTAATAATTAATAATTAATATCAATAATTATATAGAATAATATATAGAATAGTAATATCATATTAAATTTATAATAAAAAACATAAATTATTGCTACTTACGGGAGCAACAGTGTTTCAAATACTGAAAAATAAAAAAAGAAACGCATATACGTTATATCGGCCATTCATAAATGTAACTTCTTTGCTTGTATATGAAAAAAATACCATTCTAAATATACTGATTGCAATCAAATATTTATAATATAACTAATGGAGATTAAAGTCCATCATAAAATGATTTAATTTCTGTTTAAAGATATGATGAATCACGTTAATCGTTAACTATTAGATATTAGATATTCTAATTCAATTAGAATAATAAACGATACAAATAGAATCGCTTTATGTGAAATTAAATAGATAATGAAAGCGAATTGAAATTAATTTTTTCTTTTCTTCTCGTTTTTTTAAAAACTTTACTTTCGTTAAATAAATTTTATTATGCTATAATATTTTAGTAATTTAAATATTAAATATTAAACATACGAATAAAGAAGATCAATAAACACAAATAATATCAATAAAATTGCATTTTAAAAGTCTAATGATTGAAGAGTTTAGTCATTGAAATCATAAAATACAAAGTTGATGATTATATTTATTAAATTGATTTAATAAAATGCGTAGAATTTATCGTTAATAATATGATTCTTGAAACGAAAAGGATATTCTAAGAAATTGAACAAGAAACAGGAAAGTATTACATACATATGAAATATAATTATGAGACAAATATGCATTAATATTATATTATAAATCAAAAAATTCATAGAATAATGCTACTTATAAATTAATTTTTAATTCTTAATTAAAAATCATTTAGACGTTAACAAAACTAATTGAAATAATTAAATTATCATAGGTCTAAAATTTATTTATTTGTACATTAATTTCTGTTATGATAATCAGATATATTCAATGAGTATGTATTAAAATAATTATAATAACAATTTTAGATTTCTAACAAAGATAGAAATTAATCTTCAAACAAAAGAAATTAATCATTCAGTTTTCATATCATCATGATGCTAATTAATTCAAATCGAATTAGAAATCAAGAGATATTCTCTTATTCTCTTATTAAATAATATTCAATAATAATGAAATTATTCTAAACAATTACATTTACTTTAATTTTAATTTTAAATATTCGATGGTAGGTTTTATATATTTTCCATAGATACGTGAAATAGATTTTATTTTTTTTTTCTTTTTTCCTTTCTATTTGCTGATATGCTTTTCATCGAACTTTAATCCATCCATGCCATTACATAATCATCATTCTCTATCCCACATCTTTGCAAAGTTTCTAGTTTACCTGTCGACTTAGTCTACAATTTTCTGGTAATCGTTTTCAGTTCAATTGCTTACCCGATAAACATTGGAGAACTTATCTTAAAAATTATATCTTGCAAATCTCCACTGTGAAAGGTTCTTGGTTCATGCATCATACAATTTGTTGTTTTTCCTTTTCCCTTTTCTATTTCATTCTCTCTCTCTCTCTCTCTCTCTCTCTCTCTCTCTCTCTCTCTCTCTCTCTCTNCTCTCTCTCTCTCTCTCTCTCTCTCTCTCTCTCTCTCTCTCTCTCTCTCTCTCTCTCTCCCCCCCCTTCTCTCTCTGAGAAAACAAACATACAAAATGACAAAGTTGTCTCGATATTGCTAATTTCGGATTTCACGTTTAACCGGTCGATAATGAATACTATTTACGGGATTCGTTTTCTTTCATTACCATTTTTGTCATCCGGTTAATTGCCATATTATACACTCTGTTACAATTTCTCTGTTACGTCGATGACTTAAATAACTAAACATTTTATTTTATGCCATTCCAGAAATTTTCTTTGCACCGCGTATGGGCTATTACTGTTCAATGTCACGCTTCCTGACTCGAGCCATTTTTAGATAGTCAACGCCAAAATCCGATGGAACATGTTTTACGTTTGAAATAATTGACGAACTAAATAGAAAAGTAGCTGGAATGATAGGTAGTTGAGTTAGAAATCTAATGTGTCTCCATGCACAGCGAATCATTTCGTAATCAAGAAGAAAAACAATGTTACTTAATCTTCGATCAGAATAACTTCATCTTTAATCTTAGAAATTGATGATGAGAATATCAAAACTAGTTTTTTTAATAATTTAACTTATGATTGTCCTAATTCCATATTAATTCCATATTAATTTTGGAATTAATATTAATATTAAAAATTATAATTTCGAGATAAAGCATTCATTTAATTTTAAATTAGAATTAGAATTTTGTTGTAATTAACAAAATGCGAAGATAATTAAGATAATTAATTTCATCAATTAATCGATAAACAGAATATATTTTGAAATACTATCTTGATAGACAGTTTTATAAGAAAAAATTCAATGGCATTTATAAATATATGTGTATGTTGATAATCTATCTCGATATTCGTGGGTCAGTGCACTCTAATGATATCATTTACCGTTTCGGTCACTTGAAAAGAGCACAAGAGAGGTTCTAGCACGTAGGACTGTACGCGTTAAGCCAGTTGATGCATGCTAAACGCCGCGCTTGATCTACCAGATAGCGGCTTACGGTACCATTAAAATACTTGCACGCAGCTATTTTATAGCAGTTGATTCACTATATTCAAGATAGTACACGTTGTCGCCTCTCTAGGGAATTGTCATAAACAAGAATGAATGACGTGTCTCGTGTATGCAAGCTGTTGATCTTTTTCTATGTACAATGTGCCTTTTGTAAATGGAAAATGAAATTATCTTTTTGCAACTATCTACTACATACTACTATATATGTATATATTATATATATATATATATATATTTATACATACATCTATATATATTATCTATTATCTATATATATAATATATAATATTATATATTATCTATATATATATATATATATATATATATATTATTTATATTATGCTCGTTTATTTCTTATAAATGCATTGAAATTACTCCATTCACTGTTTTATATTTTATCTTTAAGAAAATGAAAATTTTGGTTAAAATATTTGTTTAATTGTTATATTTTTAAGATTGTATTTACAGATTTATGTATTTATATTGTAAAATTTGTTTTTTTTTATTAAAAATTGTTTCCTATTTATAATTTAAATATTTTTGAACGATATATAAAAAATTTCATTCATTATTTTTTTTTATTTATTTTTTATATATGTATATGTGTGTATTTATATGTTATCATCTTTTTATCACAGTACATATATAAATATTGTAATCTCCATCAAATTCTTCATTGAAATTAATTAATAATTTTATTATCTTGGATTCACAAATTAAATCAATTAATAATAATTAGTCAAGAAATTAATAGGTAAATTGATTTTTAGAGAACTGAAAAATGATGACACGATGGAATGTGTTTATCTTCGTTTTGAGTCGAAAATTTAAAATTAAAATCAAATAGTCACATCGGATGGACTTTTAATATTTTTAAATTCTTTCTAATTAATGATAATCATGCAAAACATTTTTTTTTATTTTTTTATAGATTTAACGGTATAAGTGGTAAAACATAGTATGAATTCATAAAATGAAATTAAATGTTCTTTTATTAAATATATATATATATATATATAGTGTGATTTAATATATGCTCTTCTAATCACTTGACAAAAAAAGCTTTTAAGATTTTATCGACATTAAAATCGATAAAAATGGATGTATATACATGGGATATATTTAAATTATTGCAATCCTAAATTTACTCGTTTATTCAATAATTATTTTACTTTTCTATTTTATCGACAAAATATTTTCTAAAAAATATATGATAAATAATGAAAATAAATGATAAATAATGATAAATAATATTATATGAAAAAGTCAATTGAAGAATTGTTGCAAAATTTTAGTAATTAAAAATAGAATTAATTGTAAAACAATTTAATATTATATTAGATGTATAACAAAAATTTTACAGATATATATTTGTTCAACTTTTTATGTAAAACCATGATTAATCCTTACGTGCAACAACATCGGAAATTATTTTATAAGAGATCTCGATTCGAATCAATTTTTTTTTAATATCATTTGTTAGATTCTTTAATAATGCAACAATATAGTACCGCTTTTTAATAGAATAATTTATTATGGATGATTATTTACTAAAAGTAGAAATAATAAAATGATCCAGGAACTACATCTTGTGTAACATTTCTTGCAACAAGTATATAATTTCAATTTATAATTTACAACTAGTTAAATGATTGATAAAACATATTTAGAGATTTTTTTTATTTTTTCAATGTTAAATGATATTTTTAATTTGATATAATTGAAAATTAATATCGAGATATTTTTGATTCTATAGGATTATCTAAATTGTATTTTCCAATAGTTTCACAATAGTTTCATATCAAATTATTGATTTGTTATTGTCAAAATTTTTATAATTAGGAATAATTAGAAATTTTTTACAATTTTATTTAAAAATTTTTCTTTGATTTTTTACAATTTTATAAATACAATTTTATAAATACAATTTTAATACAAATTTAATACAATAATTACTTTAAATCTGCCACATTAACATTTCATTCAATTGATTCATTGGTTATAAAACAAATATTCGAAAACTAATTCTCTTTTTGATGCGTCATATCTCATGATAGAATGGATAGGAAAAATGAATAGAAAAAGAGACTAGTTAATCTGATTATAAATGGAAAGGTATTATGTATAATACTAAAATATAATCGTGAATTCGTCGATATCGAGCTGATTTCTACTAATTATTTAATACCGGAAATTGTAGAAAGTGAAAGAAATAAAATGTTTTCTACATTTCTCACAAAAATAATCGTACCGGCAAAAAATGGTAGTAAAAATAATCACGTTGTTGCTAATTCTAATTAATTTGACCTTATTCGTACAAAACAGCGGAAACTTATTAATCACGTCGTTCTAATTTTAATATAGATTAATGGAACAGTTATTTTCAGAATGTTCATGGAATTCTCTAGGTGTTGTTACATTTTATAGATGGGAAAAGAAGGAAAAACAGAATTATGGGTTAGATAATTATGTATATACGTTTGAAAATGATTTCTCGAGATACGAAATCGATCGGCAACCTTTCTCCATCCGCGTGCTTCTCTCATCGTGACATCGGCTGGTTATGCATCAAAGAAAAGTTCACTGCGGTTCTCTAATGATGGCCATTACTTACGTTGTGCTATCGTTCACGGTTTTATCTCGTTAGAAAATTAGTGTAATAATTATACGTTACTTATTACGTGTAAAAAGAGTCGTTGATATCGAATAATTTATCTTTTAAATTATTTTCTACTATGAATTACGTGTTAAAAGTGTTCGAAACTTTCAATTGGTTTTTCTCTTCGTTTTAAATTCTTGTAATGTTTACCGATTTCTAGGGTTTTTTTCCTATTTTATTTTATTTTTTTTTTTTTATATCCATTTTATATCTCGCATATTATTGGAAAATTATTCTATTTTATTCATTTTACGAACGACATATTGCGAAATATCATTAATTTTTTGGATTCATTTTAATTTGTACGTACAGCAATCCAAAAGAAAAAAAATGAAAAATTCAAATCTGATAGAATTGCAGCTATCTTTATATTCGATTATTCATAGATTCGCCGATATATTTATTTGCATTTATTAATGTATTTTGTATGATACAGTAAAAAAGAACGACAGACTGCTTTCTGAGCAATGATACTTAATTCTATCGCATTTATAATAAGTAAAAAACGTATAATTGATAACAGAGTTGGCGACATTTGACATTTTCAATGGCTTGGTCCATTTGATAAGTTCAGACTCAAAATTTTTGTACTCGAGGAATTACATTCAATACATTCTTTTGCTTTCTGTTCAGAATCATGGAATCGTCGAAATAATAAGAAAAAATCATAGGAAATCGAAAAGGACATATCAATCAAGCAATCAAGAAATCATTATTTTTCGTTATAAATATAACATAAAAATGATATTATACTATTATATATACGAGCAATTTATCGATAGCGGTGTTATACAAGGCATACAACCTATTAACCCAGTCTACCTTGAACTTTTTTACTTATTTTTATCTTTCTAAGTTATTGCTTTTTAATATTCGATTATCTTTGAAGTAATTTATATAATCACAACGAGCTTTTCACAATCTTATTACACCGTATGCTATATACGGTTAAATATCTCGATTCATTTAATTTTCTCATTCACCACATACAACCAGTCGGAATATTCTTTTCTTGCCAATTCGAAATGCACGATCGTTCTGCGTTCTTCTATTCTGAAGATTTATGATCCAAGATAACGCTTACGTCGTTGAATGTTTTGCATCGCGCACACGGACGTGGATCGCGATCCGGCCGAGCCATTTAGAGAACTCGCACCGATTCTACTTACGCGTTCGGTTGCATTAGAAACATAGTTGCACGTTCTAATCGCATTGGAAGAGGATATCGCAAGGATACCACTCATTTCGCTCTCGTTTCGAGCGAAAATTCATTTATAATATAGATAAGATGAAGTCTCTCTGTGAACAGATGAGATCAAGAGGTGAACTCGTTATAATTTCATTTAAAATATCTTTCGTGGTTGAAGTAAAATCTTTTCAGATAGTCGATGAAATTTTATAAACTATTATAAATTCCTGTATAAAATTCTTTTTATACGACCAATAGAATTATAAAGCTCATTAAGGAAAGTAAACGTCCCAACTAAAACTGTCTTCGATCTATGATAAAAGTTGAGTTACGTTAAAACCTCGAGAGATAAACTTATGATAATTCATCTAGCGAAAAAGACCGTTTTCATCGCGTTATAAAATCTCAAGAAACGGTCGCTTAAATTCTTTCTTGGCCGCACGTTGAATAAAATTAGCAGAGACGAGAGTACTCTTTCAAAACGAACGAATCTAGGATACGAGATCATCTCTGACCTTTTCCCAGAACCGAAAGAGGTCTCCCCTCTGGAACGCACACGCGGAATTTAAATTCTCGGCGTGGAATGCAGCGTGTCGTCCAACTCCGAAGCCAGGAAGTTGGCCACGTCACAGCGAAATTTCACAATTTCGCGTATAATCTAGGCACGAATGCTCGTTAAAAATATTCGCGAAACTCTCTCTCGATCGAATAATCCAGTTCCGACCTTGTTTTCTCTCTTTCAGGAGGTGTTGCTCGCGCACAGCAAAACGTCCACCCATTGCGAGCCCATCACGGTGATCCTTGCAGGGGTGGAGGCCCCGGAATTGGCAGCGATCCTCGGCTTCGTGTACACGGGAAGCGCGACGGTCCCTCGCCCTCGTCTCAACGCGTTCCTCCACGCCGCCGAGGCCCTCCACATCGCGCTTCCGCCCGTCCCCCTCGTAATGACTTGCGCGCAATCCGATTGCAAGCAGGAAGACATCAAGGACGTGAAGATCAACCCCAAGTACCTTCGGTGCGATCAGTATCCGTGCTGCGACCGTTGGTTGAACCGTCCCCGTTCTATAAATCAAGATGAAGATCCCGCGGCCAAACGGGAATCCTATCCGGCGATCGAGTCCTTGGAAACCGCGAGAGAAATCGGACCGCTTCCTGAATCGATGAACTTTGCCGGATCGAGATACGGGCCAAGTAAATATTGCTCTACAACCTCGTACTGGCCCGTTCCTCCTCCTTTCGCGAGCGTCGCGCGGGAAAAGACGGTTCACGGTGTAGATCAGCATTCGGATAAGGATAAGGGGAGGACGAGTCAGCCGGACGTCGCGCGGTATCGTCCCATCTCCGTGGTGGCGAGGATCGATAGGGTTGGCGACGTCCCGACTGGGAATCGCCACTGGGAAAATCATTTTAACGGCTGTGATTTTTCGGAGAAGGCTTTTCGACAGCGCGGCGAGTTGTTATCCTTCTCGACGGGGACGACCTACGATCCTCCTCGCGATGGTGGATCGGAACAGCCCGAGGCGAGGATGAGAAGTGGCCGAAGTCCCCGTATCGGGGACGAAGAAGACGCTCTGGGAAACGATTTATCCACGTATGGTGATTGTAATTTGGAGCAAGGGAAGATTGCCGAGGATCGTCTTAGCGTGATTCGTTCTCGGATCGGCCCCGCTCAGATTAGAACCGCGCCCATATCGGAATCTACTAGATCCTGCGAAAGGGCGGATTTCGGCGAAGATTTGACGTGTCGTGAGAGTTGTTTCGTCTGGAGATCGCCGAGGAGACAAGTGGCAAACAGGGTGATAGATTCGCCGTGGAAACAGACTGTCAAGCCTTATCATTTGCCGAAAATGCAGCCGATGGCACTTCTTCAGCCTCACGTCGAGAACGTTGTAAGTGTCTTTTGTGATTTGTTTTTTTCTTCTTTTTGCGCGATAATCCTGCTTTTTGCGGTAGAATAGGATATAGTGGTATTACAAATGTTAGAGATGATTAGGAGGAGATTAGGATTCTTCTGCAAGAAAAATCATGGATCAAGAGATGTTAATTATAAGTAGATATGTATCAAGTAACTTGAACGAACCAGCTTGGTAATATTTCGTATAAAAGATATTTAAAGAATCTACTTATCCATCTGTAGAGTTAATACGGTTGCAAAATTATTCACGTACGATTTCGTTTGATTGGGGGAGCAATATTTCGAAGGAACTTCGAAATATTAACGGTGAATTTTTCGTTGCGTAAATAATAGAAGAGTATTTAAATGATCCTCCGCAGCTTCCATTAGCTCTACACGGGATTGAATATTCTGAAAACATCTCGCATTGCTTGAAGTTATACGCGAGTCGAGATTTCTGTTTCAAGGTGCCCATTACACTTCTCCGTTACACTATTCCTTTCAGAATATTATTTATCTCGTAAACTTATCGTTCTTCGAACATTCGATTCCATGTTCTGAATATATATTAGAGAGGAATAATGAACGAGAACTCGTTATGTTATGGATACATTTGCACCTATCCACGAAACGAATTTAGAACGTTTTCTACAATTGATCTATAATCTTTCCAAGTGATAAAAAATTAAAATGGAGCCGCTTCATAACAGTTTTGAGATTTTTCTCTCTCTCGGTTGTCGGACTGTTCCATCAGAAAATAAGATCAGAAGATATTGCCAAGATAGATAGCTGTTTCCTTTCACTACTTTCATGAAAATTAGAGCACTGAGTTTTGATGCGCTGAGGAAGAGAGAGAGAGAGAGAGAGAGAGAGAGAGAGAGAGAGAGAGAGAGAGAGAGAGATTGCAGAAAATTCGGCACGATAAAGTAACTCGAGGAGTTTTTCGTAATACGTCGGATTTTCAATTGCACAACGCTCGATGAATTTGTTCGGTCGATTATCGGCCAGATACAATTACCGATTTCTGTTCCGTGCCTTCATATTGTTACATCACGTTGCATACACGGATCTCGCTTAGATCGGGTTACTAATCTTACTCGGTAGCAATCTCTATCCTTTCGTGCAGAAAGTAACTTGTTTATCCGTGGCTTTTGATCAGAAGAAGGAGGGACCGTGCTCTCATCCTTCGAGATTCCCTACCATACGGAGGCTATAGTGATAGCAAGGAAATTTTTTTTTAATATTTTTAAAACAAGATTTGAATTTAATTTTTTCAATTCCAATACAATCTCTTCCCTCGTGTTTCTCCCTCGTTCTGAAAAGAATTTGCACAAAAATTTGAAGCGTCTAATTTGAACGCGTTATTCCATCGTTAATTAAATTATTAGTATTCGTGGCAAATGACGAAGCAATTTTATCTAGGACCGTTATTTCATTCTTAAAGTAAAATTGTACAGGAAATGGAAATGCTTGGAACTAATGATCAGAGATGAAAGCTTAAGCAACTTCTGAAACTTTTTCTTCGAAGTTGGAAATGTCACTGATTCGAATCGTCAATGTATCCAATGATTAACAAAATATTTGCATTTTTCTTCCGCGACACGAGATTCATCCTATCGCTGATAGGATGAATCGTCTTAAAAGCTAATCGAGTGGAAACATCACGTAGATGTTTTATACACGTTCTAATTCTTCTCTTTTTTCCATAATTATTTTTTAGAATTATCGCGGATATTTTCTTATTTTTGCAAATTAGACGCGCCAAAAAGAAGACGGGATTCCTTATTATATATCGATCGTATTTTCATCGTAAAATCAGCTGACCGTTTAATGCATATTTACCTTCTTTCTTCTTTTAACCCTCCTCCTCCCCCCTTTCCTTCGTTTTGTAAATCTTTACTGCGAAATCACTGCGTTCAGCATTCCGCTCTTTTGCTTCTCCACCTCCTCCTTTTCCCTCTCGCGTTTGATGATCTCTCGAACATGCTCGGGTCATTGCATAACATTCACCCGTCTGTATTGCTCGAGATCGTCCCCGTTTCAGGAATAAAACACTTATGGAAAGTCCGCGATCGGTCTAACGTTATATGGCTTTTAAATATATTTTCCACCATTTGTCTTTTATTAAAATTTTATTAAAATTTGAACTCGTTCCTTCGAAGAGGATAGCTAAAATATTTTACTCATTTATCTCAGAACTCGATTTCTTCTTTAACCGGTGTTTTTCAATTTGATCGAATAATATCTAATAGTTAAGCTTCGAAAGTTAAACATCACCGCTTCGTCATCGTTAGTGCATTTCCTCGAATAATTTGAAAATAAAAATTTTCGAATTTTGTTCCAACTAAACCTAGACTTTTGCCAACGTTGTATTGCCAATTTTATTTTTTATTTAAAAAAAAAGAAAGAAGAAGAAAAAAATCTACATAAGCACGTTACTTGCTGAATTTGCAACGAATGCACACGCGATACTACGATCAGTGAACCGCCATCTGTGATTTAACTATTCGCATGCCGAGCACATGAAATATTGTTTATTCCAAATCATTCGGTTAAAAGGTTAATCGGGCCGGTAACTTTGCCAATCCTATTTCTGCTTCATGACTGAAATCGTTATCTTCCTTGTCAATCGTAAAAGAAGAATGTACCTATCGTTGCTGATGCAAGTAGAGCAGAAATTGTTCATTTGACGTTAGAACGTACCAACTATAAAGGTATAGAGGGATCAATCGGTAAAACGAAACTAGGTCCTTGTTAATCGTTTGCATACAATTCATTATTGATCGATCGAACGTGATCCGTCAAATCCGTATCTTTCGATCATTCTATATTGTTAAAAGTGTTACAGTTTAGCATCTTCATCGACGATATCTTCAAAATACATCGTTATTTTGATCTCGACGAGAGAGGGATATAGAAAGAAAAAAAAAAAAAAAATAAGAGGAACAACATGAAGTCTCTATCAAATGTGTACCAGACGTTCTAATGAAAATCGATTGCTACGATCTTAGAGACAAGACACGGTTATAAAATGATCGTGAGAGAATTGTAAAGTGATTTTTAATCCAAGATACGATTTAAAAAAAAAAAAAAAAAAAAAAAGACTAAACGATTTCCTTTTTTATAGAAAAGAAGAATTATACTTTCGAAGTATTATCCCTCGATTTTTTTATTAATCTTTTTATTAAATTATCGATACGGTTGCTCGAAAATCATAACGACCGATTGATGCAAACCACCCTGTACAAACCGATCGCTTGTTATTTATAAAGGAAACAAGAAAGAAGCGAGAAGAGTCGGGAGTACAAGCAGAACCCACTTATTCTTCATCGACCTTTCACCACAAATGAAAGCACGCCGTTGAATCGTGCGCGTCCCGATATGCCAGCCGTTCATTTTGCTTTCTTCTGCTGAAATATGCAGAGGAATCAGTGCTTCTCCGGGTGTGCACTTCTCTGCAGGCCACTCATTTAACGGGCCACGGTTAATTCGATGGTGCCAGGTGATAAGATGTGTCCACAACACCAGCTGCTTGGCCCAATGTCATTCTTATTAATGAAACTATCAGTTACACACGATGAATTTCTTTGCTCTTTTTTTTTTTTTTTTTTTTTTTTTCCTTTCCTTCATTCTCCCTTTCCGTCTGGACCTCCCCCTTTTTTCCCCATTCTCTGTCGCATTGCTTTTTTTTTTTTTCCCACTCCGTTTCTTTTTTCCAGATTGGTGCCAGAAGGTGCCAGACCAGCTGGTAGCACCGGCCAGCTGCGAGAAACCCTTTTACGTGTTATTACAAGTAATCTGGAGAGGAACGTTTTCTCTTTCGACACGTGCACTGATATGCTCCAGATTTTTTCCGATTACTTTACAACCTTGCGCAACCTGATTCTACGTATCTCAACACGAAATCTTCTTCTTTATTTTTCTTTCACTCACAGTTGCAACAAGATGCACCTTTCTTTTTAAAAAAGTGTGTTGTTGATACGCGTGCACGCATGGTTTTATCGAAATGCGAAAATTGATACTTGAGCGGCGTAGAAATCAAGTAGAAATCGGGTGAAAGATTTTAATATTTTTGGGAATAAAAATTACGAATTTATTTGCTTTATCAATTAAGATCATGCAAGGATATGATGCATACTATTGCTACTTAATCTTGTGCAACATTATTTTCTCATGTTGCGTTATATTTTTAAAATAATTGTCACTGCTTGGCTATTTCCGTAAACATAATTTGATAATACATTAAATATCATTAGAGAATGTAGTATTAAATTACTGTTTTTATCATTTAATATATTCCTCGCGTAATATTCCACTTAGATAACCGTACGTTCTAATTTCCATCTGCTTTTGTTGGAATTACCGATCCATGGATGCTATGTTATCGAAATGATAAATTGCGAAAACCGGATCGAAGCCGATAAAGTAAAATCAAATATAGATGTATGAAATGTTTACAAATCAGAATTAATTGATAGTTAAATTGGATCCTGTAACTTGAAAACAAAAATTAATTAAGAATTGATAATTATATCGATCGAATTTACACTTCTTCCGAGCTGAATTAAATTCAATCGTTTCTAATGATTTTCTCTAATCAATTAATCGTTTTAAAAAAGTGATTAAACTTAAACGAAAAAATCGGATAAACAGAGAGAGAGAGAGAGAGAGAGAGAGGAGATTAATTAAAGTGTACAAGTTGTATAATTAATAACATTAATTACCAGCGATGAAAGATAGAAAATAGAGAAAGGAAGTAAAGGTTTCGATGATTTTGTTTCAGAGAAGCGAGGAAAACCTACGTGTGTTGGAAACTACGCGATCTTCTGTGATCTCTATCAGTCCTAATCGACAGTTCTCTAAAAACTCTGCGGATCATTATTACGGTGTTGAAGTTCCTACTACTCACGAAGTCACGTACCATAATGGTAGCAAATTATTGGAAGCAAATTCTACCTTGGTATCGAGGCCTCAAGAGTTTTATTCCCCTCAAATCCCTTCGTCGACGATTACGCAAATGGTTACATCGATAAACAATGATATCATAAACAATGAGACGATATTACAATCTCAAAATAACGTAATTTCTACAACGAGAACGTTGCCGTGTCCTATGGAGAATAGTCAGATAAATATCAATAAAAAGGGTGGCTATTTCGGGCAAACGCTATCTCAATCGCCACAGAAGTTAGAAATTTCTCATCCTGTTAGCAGACTTTGCGATACGATCGAGTCGACCGGTAAAATCGATCGTTTTACAAACCTAGAAGTTGAGAACTCGGAGAAAGAGGCGAGAATCGATGATAAGCTTGTTGAGAGAGTTATTATCAACAGTGATAAGAACAATAATGATGCCATCGTTAGTCAGGATGCTGTTCAACGGGGAAAAGGAGCACAGGAGAATCATAGGTGCGATCAGTGTGGCAAGACTTTCGTTACCAAAGCCTCTCTAAAGGTATTGATTGATTGGCTTCCGATAACTTTTTCTGCTTCTTTTTTTTTCGTTTTTGTTTAATATTTCATGTTACTGACATTTATAATTAACGACTGTCGGTATAAGGTATTGTTGCGATTTTTTTTGACACTTCCTTATCCTGTATTGCTAAAATTTCAAATAATTATCATTGGAACAAATTACTGTAATAAAGTTTGATTTTTTTTATCCTGTAAAATAATTCCTACAAAATAAGAAAATTCTGCTTTTTTTATTTATAATTCTTTACAATTTCTTATTCTATATTATCTACTCGAACTATTGCTTTTTCTAAGTATTATAACAAATTTTTGCAACTTACAATTCTTGTTTTATTTTATTACAAAAATTCTCTAAATTAATTACTAAAATTAGCTACAATTAATAAAAAAATCTACAAGTGATAAAAATTCGTCGTTTCCATTGCAAATTTAGGTGCACGTTAGAACGCATTCAGGAGAAAAACCTTTTCGTTGTACCGACTGTGGTAAACAATTTTCACAACTACGAAATTACAAGTACCACCGAAGCGTGCATGAGGGCACTAGAGAATTCGCAGCGACCTGTCCAGAATGCGGCAAATATTTCAACGACCGTGGCTATCTAAGTTCCCATATGAAGATTCATCGTAACCGAAAAGAATATGGATGCGCGGAATGTGGTAAAAGTTTTAATCAGCGAGTCGCTTACAATATGCATGTTAGAATCCATACCGGAGTAAAACCGCATCAATGTGAACAATGTGGAAAAGCATTTTCTAGGAAAATGTTGTTAAAACAACATCTTAGAACGCATTCCGGGGAACGGCCTTATCAGTGTCAAGTTTGTCAAAAAGCTTTCGCCGATAGATCGAATATGACGTTACACACGAGATTACATTCTGGATTAAAACCGTATCAATGTACGTTATGTTCTAAAGCGTTCACGAAGAAACATCATCTAAAAACTCATCTTAATTATCATACAGGGACTAAACCTTATTCTTGTCCAAATTGTGGATTAAGATTTTCTCAAAGTAGTAATATGAGGACTCATTTTAAAAAATGTACCGTTAATAATCTGATGGAAACGAACAGTTCACAATTGGAAGGTATTGTGAGAGACTCGTCTAAGACTGTACAAACGCGAATAATCTCGAGAACACCTACTGATACGTTAACACCACCTAATTCGGATCAAGAATTAAGTATTTTAACACCGATTTCTAAAAGTAATGGAATAGAAGGGAATTGTAACGATAACATAAGAGATGCTATTAAACCGTCTATGTGATTGTTAAGTATTCGAAGAGATATTTTAGCGGTTAGTTAGATAAAGAAATAACAAGTACATATATTCTTCGACTCGATGAAATCAATCTGTGTGACAAATTGAAGAAATGAAGTACACGTCGCGGTTATGAATCAGACTTGTATCATGAAATTTAGATTCTCTATAGGATTGACAATCGCAAAATGTGTAGCTGGTTTTTATAATCAACGGAGCAACCATTGTACAAAGATGCTTTTTGCCCGGTGTTTTCAAGATAAGTGGTTAAAACGATAAGTGCTTGACGAGGCAATTCAATGAATAAATCGATCGAATTGCTACAGCCTGCAAATGTAATCGAACGATAGAAAGTATTAGATTCGTTTGAAAGTAGCACTGTCAATTGGTAATCCGAGAGTTACCATAACAGTACGAACGACCGCCTTTTCCTAGAAATCGTTGTTTTACGGTAAGACGTATCGATTTAACCTGTAAATCATTACATCAGATCCTGAATTCCTTTTTTTCATGTCTTTTTCCTTTTTCTTTTTATCTCTTTCTGTTCAAAAAGTATTATCCACGTTATTAACTCATAATTGAAAGAATTGCAAATTTTTATATAATTATTGTAATTGCGGAAAAAAAAATTATGTAAAAAATGTGATTTTTTTTCTTCGCATGCGTACATGATGAATATTAATAAGATTTCAGAATTTGAAGAATGAGATTTAATGAGAAAGGTTTGTGACATTCTGTATTTTAATCTGTTATAAATGAATTCCCATTTTTTTTTTGTAATATATATATAAGTATATTACTTGTATAAAAAAATACGCAACAATAAAATTGAATTTGCGAGCGATGAACATTACTGAAAATCACTGAAAAATTATTATTTTCATTTCAGATTGATAAGTACTTTAACAAATATTTTTCAGCAGGAAAGAATAATTTTAATTCCATTATCAATCAAAGGTAACTTAATACGGCTTAACCATTTCCATCCTGGAATTATCTTGATATACTCATCTAGAAAAACTTTCTAGTCAAGATCAAAGTAAAAGCATCTGGATAGAGGATCCTTTTTAAAAAAACGTAATGAATTACCGGCCCTATTAAAATACAATCATAATTATCAGGTTGTCATTTTTTTATATCAAAATTAAATTTCTTTAATCGTGGAATCAATCTAATACAATGACTAGTTTCTTACAATTAGATTCTTAATTATGTTCTCATTTAAAAGACAACACTATAGACTTTCTTGTGATTTATCGAAAACATATAACAATCATTACGTTATTTTCTCTTTAAATTAAAGGGTTTCTTCGAGCTGTTCAAGATCGTATCGTATCGAAGATAGTTCTTCTACTCTCTCTTGAGGAACGGAAGTTTTGTATACATATATATATATGTAAGTACTAACACTCAATCGTTTAATCGTAGAAGACCTCTGTGTGCTACCATATTTGCTAAAAGCTCCGTTAAACGTTAGAATACAACGATGTGCTATTTATTTCTGATTTATAGACGACTCTAAGCTACTATCTCATTGAAAACGTCTCGTTGCTCTGTAGTATCTGACAGTTCCGTTTGCGGGACCTTTCGTGACCTTATTTTATGGAAATATTTATGAACGACATGAAATTCTAGCGATCTAAAGAGGCCAAGAGCGAATTAATAAACGAAATCCGGTAAGAATTTATACTTTATTTGATTTAAATATAAGAGATTTTAATTCGGAGATCGAAATTAATATCTGGACTTGAAAGATTATAATCACTCCAATATATAAAATGGCGAACGAAAAAAAATCAAGAAATCCTTTCCTTCTTGCAATTAGGGAATGTATCTTTCTATAATCTCAAAATAATTATTTTTTCTTTAGAAATACATATAAAATGATACATCAGATAAGAAAAATATTTTATCAGATCTTGAATTCGAATCACCCATGTCCACACAGTTTCGAAATATAAAAATATTTTTAAGAATCGAAAAACCCCCATAATTATTGAATTTCATAGTCAAAAATTTCGTGTCAAGTTTATATCTACTTCGTAATCTACATCGAATCTCCAATGTAAATGTTTGATAAACGTTCCACAAACAGCAAGTTAATATTTGCTTTCAAAGATCATATGTCTTCTTTGCCTTGAATCAAAATGACCACGAAATTCCACGTAGAAGGAAAAAAAATCTATATATATATCGATGATATATGAACAGAAGGATCTATAATGTAATGTCAATTTGTCTAGCTTTCATGAGCTTTTCGAAATTCTATCGTTCAACATTCGTAGCTAATGGTTATTAATCATTAAAAGACCACGATGGCTCGAAACGAATTATCTGGCATGAATTCTTTTTAAACACGATTATCTTGTTCAATAATATTCCTAATTGACATGAAATGAATAATGATCTCTAATAATATTCCGTTAGATTGACGGTTTATAAAATAAACGTATAATTAGAGAAGATCGATAAATTTCGCAGCTGCGTTTGAAATTGAGAAACGAATAACAAAAGAGGTAAAATGTATTATATAAAGTAGCGTTAGAGAGAATTACTTAACAATTATTGTTAATTTCTGTTATAACGTACAAGAGGGAAAAAAAGAGAAGATAGTAGATCGAAAGTGGTTTCTTCGTCGTATCCTTGATTTATCACGCTTGTTACCCTAAAAAGTTTCCTTTCATACTGCTTTCTCAGAGTTCGAAAAAATATCACGGAATACAGATGCCGCGATCAATATTTTTACGATTCAATTGATTCAGTGAAAGGAAACGATCATTAATTAATATACAGATTTTTTTCCTTTTTAACTTTAACTTAAAATTACCGTAATACATAATCGAGTACGTAATCGTGTTTTTTATAGAATCCAGGAAAACGTAAATCTCGAGCATCTCGATAATCCTTTCACTTTTGAAAAATGAATAAAATTTTCGAGATGAAACCCTCCATAGATTCATTCCTCGCGAAAGTAAGAAACGTTTCCAAACGAAACGAATTAAATAAATTGTGGATTAAGTATTTTCATAATTCGTAACGAGCACTATGATTCGATATATTATATATTTAAAAATAAAACGTGATCAAGGTATAAGATATATAAGAAAGAGTTGAAAAATGACCTCTTTGAGCCTCTATTTCGGAAGAAAGCGTCGTTATAATCTCTTTGAAAATTAATTACGATTCTCTAACGCGCGAGCAAACAGATGAATCATCGTGGTCAGTGGCCGTGGTTAAGTTTTTAAGGTCATCGTTCTCGTGGATTCGTGATCTTAAAATGGCACACATTCATTTATTCTTTGAACAATACCGCTTGCCACGATCTCATTGCCCTGTTCCTGTTCCTGATGATGATCGCCGGGATTCGTTTCACCTTTAGGAATCGCGTACTGACCTCGTGAACTCGATGATCGGAGAGAAAACTCGATGGAACCTGACCAACCAGTTTTAGAGTGAAAAATTAAAGCTACGTCTCACATATGAATCGATAATAATTAGAAGTTTGCGTGAGCGAGATCGAGATGAGCTTGGCGCAGCCTTCGTGCGCGAGATCGATCATAATTCTTGTTCGATAAATCTTGTAAAATTTAATTGGCAAAAAGAAGGATCGGTCGCACTTTCGATAATCTTGAAAGTATTTTCAACGTTAATGTGACAGAGATAAATATTATGCAATACTGTAACAAGATTGCCGGTTATCGAGTTTTATAATTCGATCGATTCGAAAGCGGTGTTATTTTCCATTATCCATTAGACCGCGTTTAATTAACCTGCGTTCACCTCATTTATTTCGATCGTCGAGATATATATATATATAATAATTTAAACGCATTACTCACGTATTTACTTCTAACAAGGTATTAATATTCACTCGATGTTGAATCATCTTCGAACCATTTCAATCTTGGAATCTTTTCTCTTAGAAAGTTTGCTGCTTTTCCTCTTTAAAATTATCAAATAATATTAAGGATGCATTTGTAGGATTTATCAAATAATGAATTTATTAAATCTGATTAGAATTAGTAAATAGGAAAAACGAGCGTTAAGGCAATCATGAAACGCAAATAGCCACGTTTGCAATCGTGAGCTGTTTTAAATCGAACGAGTAAAACGAGTAGCCTACGCACCTACAACACGTTGCACAATGCTAATGGATCAAGTTCATACAGGCATCAGCATTGAATATAAGCAACCGGCCTTGTTTCGCATATATGATACTTGTCACGTGAATAAGCTTCGATCAGAATACACAGAATTTCGGGTTTAAAAATTGCCAATCATGTGTTCAACCTTTCTCTTCCATTATCACATCCTGTACATGCAAATCCTCATTCCGGTTTTATATTACCTTCTATTTTGTTTTATTCGGTTAGAAATTTAACACGTTCTCTATATTACCTGAAAAATATCTTTTTCTATATTATACATTCTATTCAAAGCTAATATGACAGGAATGTAGTTTTCTCTAATTCATATTCTACTAATAATTTTTCAGATCGCGTTATCGAAATCGATTATTCTCGATTAAAATAATCGATCAATCCTTTATTATCTATCCTTAATCTTCTCAAATGAAATAAACATAATAACGATATTCAACGAAAAATTATTTCATATATCTTCCAATAAAATTCAATCGATCCTTAACCAGTTTTAATTTTCCTCAATTTAAACGAGCTAGCGAATCTATAAATATATCTAAGATCTAATATTTATTCATACTTATACGTAAAACGACACGTTTTCTTTTCTAAAATTAAAATCCAAGGTAAAGCGTACGTACCTCCATTGAGAGATCTCTAATTTCGAGAAGACGATGCCACGTTTTCACCTCGATTAACATCGTAATAGCATCCCTCGGTAATAGCCTTGAGATACGAAAGAAAGCACGTTTGTCGCCGATAATTATACCTCGTTCGCGTAACAAATATCTCCACACATATGAACGCAGGCCAAATATTATGTTAAAACCAGTTCGCCGTGGTTACTCAAGGGAACCTGCTTGTCCCGGATTGTCCATGAGTCTGTTCCAAGAAAAAGTTGATTCGATTTGCATGACGGCTACGAAATAGCATGTACCGATCCCTGGCCCATTATAGCACGCCATACCAATCTTTGCCCGTTAGAATTTTTTTCTACGATAATATTTCTATTTGATCGACTCAAGTATTGTCACCGGTGATTTATTGGATTTTTGTCCTTGAGGATAATCCATTGACCGTATTTTATATTACCTTCTATTTTGTTTTATTCGGTTAGAAATTTAACGATAATCCTTTGCGATCGTTTCTCGTTTATTTCACCAAACGATGAACGGATAACGGGTCGCTTGTTATTAACAATTTGATTGAAAAACTCATCAATATCCACTGTTAACTTTCACGATTAATTCTAATATATTGTACAATTTAAAGGATAGGATAGAAAAAGTATAGCGACTAGTTTTATCGTTTAATTGTATCTTGTGAATATCTTGGAAGGAATTAAATTAACGATCGTCGACTATCTTTTTAACCGATTCTATCGAGTAGAATTTTCTCCAACAAGTTAAATAACATCTTCGCGAACAAGCGAAGAAGCAATCGTGTGTATATCATTTACGGTGAACACGCTGCGTAGAAGTAGAAGCAAAATTACTGTAAGAGGTTATTGATCCTCTTATCCAATGATTGCACGTATTCCATCTATTGCAATTCGATCTTCATCCATGCTTTTTTTTCTATTATTTGTGCGCCGATCTCGAGATTTTTTCACTCGGATCTTTCACCGATCTCAACTTTCAGAAATTATATATTTTTTTCTCAGATATAACGTTAAAATCTAGTAGAAGTTTTTATTAAAGAAAACGTTTTTCCACGAAATCGAAAATTCGATCAAATTTTCCACAATATGTACGCTCGATCGGATATTAAAATTTCGTACGTTACCTTACGTAAGAATACTGTGCGTGTATATTAAAAAAATTTTAAGAAAAAAAAAAAAAAAAAGAAAGAGATACATCGCCAGAAGAAATATTGCCTGTCCATCGAAAGTTTGGTCAACGAACAAATTATGTCAATCCAAAATTCACTTTCTATTCTGTTTAAACGAAACAATAGCCTGACAGCACATAAATCAGATCCGATAATCTGTATTTGTATGTCTCGTACTCACTTTCATTTAACATACATTTCTGACAAGGAGAGATCTAATCGATTTTCTTGATGATTCGCTTTCCATGGTCGTTCGAAAAGTTATACGGTTATATTTCCCGATTCATTGACACTGAAATATCGCAAATACCGATCCAATTTTTTAAGCGTATTTCCTTTTTATTTACAACGTTAACTGTCAATTTTCATTGAAATGCGGTAACGGGGCCGACATGCTGGGAGCCTAATGTCAGATCTCTGTAAATCATATGTTGTGCAATAAGTAATAATCGGTATAACACGCCCAACAACATCGTACGTTTTCTTTTCTTTTCTGCACTTCGATAAATATCAACGATACTCGATGACTTTTAAGTGTAGAACGATCAACAAGTTAATTAAAACGAAGTCGAAAACCTCGTTTCAAGTAGAAAATATACAACAAAATAAATAAATTAATTTGGAGAAATGTGTTGTTCACGATGAAGATTGTCTTTGAGAAGATTTCTCGTGGATCTTTTGATTCCGTGAGAGATTAATATTTCTTCCACGCGATGATAAATTGTTAGATTTATTGTAATGAGATTCTAATGAGATTCTAAATAAATTTCCTTCCAAATTTATGAATCGGCTAATTCTAAACGAATCTTCGAATATTAATAACCACTACTTCTAAAATGTTAATTCTCCTCGAATATATTTCAGTCGTGTCTGTTCTATTTTTAAATCCATAGATTTTTTTCTAGAATTACAGAGATTAAAAATATTTTTCAAGATGCGAAGATAAGCCCCCGGTCCAAACTTCCCGTCCAATCAAACTTTCCTTCTTATTTCGGATGATTAAAGTTTCGGATA